TATTTTGTTTATTTTTTTATTTATTTTATTTATTTTGTTTTATTTATTTTATTTATTTTGTTTTATTTATCTTGTTTGTTTTATAATAAATATAATACGTCAATCAGCGCAGAAGAGAGAGAGAGGCAGACAAACACAAACAAAAACAAAAACAAACAAAAACAGAAACAAAAACAAACAAAAACAAAAACAAAAACAAATAAAAAAACAAAAATAAATAAAAAAACAAAAAGATAAACAAACAAAAATGAAGACACCGAGGAGCGCTGAGAGGAACTCAGCAGCAAACAGAAAAAGAAACAAAGACGAGACAGAACAAAACTAGGGTTTAGGGTTTAGGGTTTAGGGTTTAGGGTTTAGGGTTTATTGTTTATTATTAATTCCATATCATTTCTCATTTATTATTCATTACTTATTATTTATTATTTAGGGTTTACAATTTAGGGTTTACTATCTAGGGTTTAGGGTTTAGGGTTTAGGGTTTAGGGTTTAGGGTTTAGGGTTTAGGGTTTGCGTACCCATGAGAATTTCTTTAACTTTTTCACAAACAAAGAAAACATCTTCTTCTGGCAGCAGCACGGGGGGCTGTCTGCACAGCCCCTCAATCCAGGCATCTATGTTGCTGCTGCTGCTGCTGCTGCTGCACCTGCTGCTGCAGCTGCTGCTGCTGCTGCTGCTGCTCCTACCAGTACACTTACCGCTTGTCGGGCGCTCGTATGCACTGCTGCTGCTGCTCTCGCTGCTGCTGCTGCTTCTGATTCGGCTCTTGCTGCTGCTGCTGCTGCTGCTGTTGCTGCTGCTGCTGCTGCTGGTTTCTTTCTTACGTGTTGAGGGGACGATCCCTGCTCTGCTGCTGCTGCTGCTGTCGACGTTTCTGCTGCTGCTGCTGCTGCTGCTGCTGTCTTCGCCACAGCTTAAGCGGCTAGCGTACAAACTGTACCCTGTGCTGCTGCTGCTGCTGCTGCTGCTGCTGCTGCTGCTGCTGGGGTCTCGTGGGGTTTCATCAGCTTCAGAGAGTTGGGTATGGCTACCTTCTGCTGCTGTCTCATCATCTGCTGCTGCTGCTGCTGCATCGTCATCATCCGCTGCTGTTGCTGCTGCTTCTGCTGCTGCTGCTGCTGCTGCATCTGCTGCTGCTGCTGCTGCTGCTGCATCTGCTGCCCTTGCTGCTTCGCTAGCAGCTGTTGATGCGGCTGCTGTTTCAGTTGCTGCTGCTGCTGGTGCTGCTGCTGCTGCTGCTGCTGCATCGTCTGATACACGTGGTCGTGCTGCTGCTGCTGCCTCATCTGCTGCTGCTGCTGCCGCGTCTGCTGCTGCTGCTGCTTCATCTGCTGCTGCTGCTGCCTCGTCTGCAGCAGCAGCAGCAGCTGCTGCACCACCTGCTGCAGCTGCTGCCTCTGTAGCAGCTCCATCCGCGGTGCTTGTCTGCTGCTGCTTGTCTTCCTCATCTGCAGCAGCAGCAGCAGCAGCAGCAGCAGCAGCAGCTGCAGCAGCAGCAGCTGCTGCTGCTGCTTCACGGTTGTTGGGCATGTCTTCAGAGGGCTCTGGGATAGCTGAAATGAAATTTG